CACCTTAGACCTTCTTGAACTTGCATCTGTCTGCCAGGCCACCGCCACCCCACTCCATTCTTTGCACGCCTGGCTATCTCTGTTCATTCAGGTATCAGCTTTAATGTCACCTGCTCAGAGAGGCCTTCTCTGAACACTCAGCTAAAATACACTCCTTCTCTGCCACTCTTCCTCCCTGTCCTGCTTCATTTCCTTTATCTCACCACCTAAAATTGCCCTTCAGAACATAAGCTCCATAAAAGCAGGGGCCTTGTCTGGCATGTTCACCTCTGAAACAGGGTCTGGCTCCAGAGAGAGATGTTCAATGAGTGAATTAATAGAATGAGTTTTGAGATTTTTTAAATGAAAAAATTGAYATATAATTTATATACTATAAAATTCAAATTGTGTGTGTGTGTGTGTTACTGGGATTTGAACCCAAAGCCTACTATATACTAGGCAAATGTCCTACCATTGACCTACATCCAACCCTTTCCTTAAAGTTTTATTTTGAGACAGTATCTCGCTAATTTACCCAGGCTGGCTTTGAACTTGTGATCCTCCTGCCTTAGTCTCCTGAGTTCCTGGGATTACATGTGTGTGTAATCCACCACACCCAGCTTAAAATTGTACACTTAAGGATACAATTCCATGGTTTTAATCATGTTCTGAGTTGTGAAACCATCACCACTTGGGTCATCTCAGAAGGAAAAACCCATATCCGTTAGAGTCACCCCTCACYCCTCTCCACACCACCTCCTGCCCTAGGCAACTACTAACCAATGCTCTGTAACGACTTATTCCCCCATTCTGGGCATTTCACATAAGTGGAATCATATACTCTGTGGTCTTTTGTGACCGCTCTCTCATTTAGCATAATGGCTGAATGGTACCCCATTGCCACATATTATTTATCCACCCATCTCCTCTTGGGTATTTGGTTGATTTCACTTATTGACTATTATGAATAATGCTGCTATGAACATTCATATGCAAATTTTTGTGTGGATACATGCTTTCATTTCTCTTGAGTATATACCTACACGTGGAGCTGCTGGGTCCTAGGGTGACTATGTTGAGGTAGGTTTTTAAAACAACCACCATATCTGGTGCTGGACTCCCAGAAGGCTCTGGCATGGATCTAGGGCAGGCTGAAAGGCAGAGAAGCCCTGAAGGGACAGGCAAAAGGTTTCTGGATGAGAGGTCAACCAAAGCCCAGCTCAGAAGGGAACTGGATTGGGATGTGTTCTGGGCACAGGAGGGAGCCAGAAATTTGTGGGGCAGGTCTCAGAATTGCTTAAATGGGGTGTGAAGAATGGGTTTGTTACAAGGGGCAGGAGGACAGACAGAGATGGGTTTGGGGCAGGCAGTACTTGCAGACTAGAAGGAATTGAAGAGAGAGAGAGGTGGTGGGGGAGGTGGCTGAGGCAAGAGTGAAGAGGGCAAAGAGAAGACTTTGACAAGCCTTCAATTCAGATGGTATTGACAGGGGARAGGCCAGAGGAGGCTGGGAAAAGGCTGGGGAAGCTATGAAAGTCACTTATCTGCTCCAATAACTCCAAGATAAGAGAAGTTCTCAGCTGCCCAGAGTGGTTGGACAGGTCCACAAGAAATCCGGGAAAACCTGTGCCTTCCGTCTAAGTGCCCTTTCCCTATCCTGTGTGATAAAGCACAGGCCTCTTCACCTGCCAACGGGTAGCTTTTCTTTCTCTCTTCTGAAAGGTTTCCTTCTTGTGCTAAGCAAGATTTTCCTAAGGACGGGCTAGTTCARGTTCTTATGGCTGTAACTGCACCCTTCTTCCTCCCTCCAGGTCTGCATGTGGTGACCTCTTTCAAGGTCTCTGTCTAGGCTAGAAGCCTCAGAGACAGAGAGACAGAGACAGAGAAAGGTTGGTGCTACCTTGAGCAGAGAGGGGCTCAAGTCCTCCTGGGCATCCCAGCTCTGCGGGCACCGCCCCTCCACTGCCTGCCCTGGGAGGCATCCAGAAGCCCCCTCCAGTCCAGGGTCCTGCAAGCCCTGTGCAGAGCCCAGAGAAGGAGGTGATGCCTGACTCTCTGATGTGTCATTCGTCACTTTTCTCTGCGCCCTCGCAACAGCTGGCCCTTGAAGATTTGTTAAATGAATCCCCCACTCCTGAGTGCCAGCCTGGCGCACTGGCTGGTAATCACTTAAGCTGAAAAGCACTTGCGGGGGTATTAGCATTTCAACTGAGGCAAGGCTGTGGCAGCAATGTTAGAGACTGGTGCAGGGATGACGGAGGCACTGTTTATTTGGGGGTGGGGGGCTACCTTGAGAACTACCCCAAGGGAGCTAGGTGCTTGACTAGACTTAGGGTTGCATCCCCCCATTTCGACCGGAAGTCTGCTTTTTTGCTTTTCACTGAAGGAAAGAGTTCTTTGTGACATTTTATGTTTGGAGTAGGAGGACTGAAGTTCAGAATTTAAACTTGAACCACTGATAGGACCTATCTCATTCTCAGAGATCCCAGCAAGAAGCCCCAGAGGCCCACCATTGGCTTCCCAGAGCTGCCAGAGTCCAGAAATGCTCAATCTACGAAGATTCACAGGGATACTCATCTCATGCCTATTCCTCCTCCATAGAATTTATGTTGACTGCTTCATCAAGCCACTGCCAAAGTATTAGTTCTAAAGTCAAATATTGAGGTACAAATCCTAGCTACGTCTCTTCTTAATAACTGTGTGATGTGGGGCAAGTTTCTTAACCTCTCTGTGCTTCAGCTTCCAATATATAACATGGAGAAAAAGTACTATTTTGCAGAGTTGTGGTGAAAATGAAATAGACTGATACAAGTAAAGTACTAATAGTGCCTGGCATGGAGTAAAGTTCAATATTATTGTTACCATCATTGAGTTTCTTTTCTGTGAGTCTATTTTCTCAGCAGGACCCTCTCTGTTGCCTGTTCAGAGCCCCAACTGAGTAAGAGCCACTCACTGCACAAAACTAGTCAGGAAGAGATGACCCATTGGGTGTACATCTCTGCTCATGTCACAAAAGCAGGCCTGCCAACCTGTCACTTAGAATTATGTCCTTTCGCCTTCCTGTCCTTTGAACTATACATATTCCTAAAATATTCCAGGTAAGAAAGAGCTTAAGTCAGAATACTGAAAACACAACACAACACAACACTTTTCAGATTTAGAGATACTCTCTCTTCATTTCTGATTAAATTTCTAGGTAGAATGGATCTTGAGCTTTTTCTTGAAGTTTTCTGAATCTCCTATACATCTAATCTTATTCAAAACCCGTGAAAACTAGTGGTGTACATAAGGAGACTTATTATTTATTTATTTATTTATTTGGTACTGGGGATTGAACCCAGGGCTACTCTACCACTGGGCTCCACTCCAAGCTCCCTTTTTATTTTTAATTTCAAGACAGGATCTAAATTGCCCAGGCTGACCTTGAACTTGCAATCCTCCTGCCTCAAACTCCCATTTAGCTGGGATTACAGGCAGGCACTACCACACCTGGCTGAGATTTGTTTTTTTTTTTTTTTCTTTTTGTTGTAGATGAACACTATACCTTTATTTTATTTATTTAGTTTGATGTGGTGCTGAGGATCAAACCCATTACCTCACACATGCTAGGCAAGCGCTCTACCACTGAGCCACAACCCCAGCCCAAGATTTGGTTCTTAAAAGCAGAATTCTTTGGTTTAAAGAGGATTTTGGGGGAAAACGGGGCTAATCACTCCCTTGTTGTTAATGTTGGGTAAGTGTGGGTGGCTTAAACTAGGGTCCCCCTACATTGACACGTATAATTCTTCTCTCCATCAACTCTGGAAGTGAGGTGCAGAGGAAAACTCACCCTYCTGCACACTCCTAGGAGTGAGCCAGAGGGCAAGAGCTCTTGGCTCAGAAGGGCCCCTCCAGAGGTTTCTCAGGGATAGCCCAACTGTGGTTCTGTTCCCAGGCCAGCTGCCTACTAGAGTCCCCGCAATCCAGGAAACCACTMAGTCAGGAGGGGGGGACTAGGGAAATAGGACAGCAGTGTCTGGGGTGAAGTCACCTATTCCCTGGCTCTGGGTCTGTTTTTCCCAGTTGTAGGCAGTCATTACTGCTGTCCTTCCAGAAAGGCCTGGTACAGGTGGTGCTGTCCAATGAGCCAGGAGAAGGAGTCTCTACAATGGCATCCAAAGGGGCATCACTGGGCACTAGGCCAGGGAAAGTCCAGAGCTCTGTACTTCTGCAGAGGTCAGGGAGGAGTAACATGGGAGTAGGACTGGAGGGGACCTTGGCACCAGCGAGGAGGATCACTTTACCAAGTTATGGATGAGGCTCTGGGCCTTTCTACCTGGCCTCACCAATACTGTCAGTGTGTGTTCTCATAGACAGAAGGGCTCTGACTTCAGGGGCCAAGCAGTAACCATGTCCTGGCTCCCTCAGGGGCCAAACCACATAGAACCAACCCATCAGCCCCGTAGCCACCTGAGTACATAGCCGACAACCGATGTGGAGCTGACTGTGAGTGTAGTCACCCCTGGGCACCTGGTCAAACCACAGGCCAGCCCTGGCACCCAGCACTGCCCCTGAGCTGGCAGTCCCTCTGTTTTTCCACCTCACTGCTAACTGCACCCCGTTTCCTGCTCCCCGGCAGCTGGGGCCACCGACAAACCTCAGACAAGCTGCGCAAGAGGGGTCCCTCCCCACCTCTGCAAACTCCATCACTCCTCTGCCCACGGGCTGGGTTGGGGGGAGCGGGTGAGGGCTGGTTTTACCCTCTTACAGGGGTAAGCAAAGACAAATAAATAATCCAGAAGTCACCTTCAGTCCCTAGAGTTTCCCCGGGGGGGGGGGGGAGCTGGGGTGGGGGAGGAAGGCAGCTGTTGGGCGAGGGCGGGCACAGCTGGCAGAGCTGGGTAAGGTGGTCGCCGCCCGCCAGAAGGTGGGAGCGACTGGCAGCCTGCGGCTGCAGGGGCAGCGATGAGGCTGGGGGCAGGGAAGGGAGGTCGCGGACAGACCTGGGGCCACGAGTTGGGGCRCGCGGGCGAGGCACTCACGTCCTCTTGAAGACGCCCCCGAGGGCGCTGCCCAGCAGGAGGCAGAGCTGCTGCGAGAAGAAGACCCAGGAGATCTGGGGCAGGGAGCTGTGCGTCTGGCAGCGCAGGTCCAGCAGCGTGGGCCCCAGGAAGGCGATGCACAGGCCGAAGCTGAAGAAGACGCTCCAGTAGGTGAGCGTGGGCTGCAGGTTGCGGCGGAGCAGCTCCGACACGCGGCCGTCGCAGCCCATGGCCTCGGCTGCCGGGCGGGCTCGCGGCTGTGGCTCGGAGCGAGCCGGGTGCCCGAGTGCCGCGCGCCCGCGGGAGGCCGGCCGGGCCCGGAGGCCAGCGGCCGGGAGGGAGGGGCGGGGAGGGGCCGCCCGGCCAGGCCCGCCCTCGGTCCGCAGCGCGGGGACGCCTCTGCCGCCCTGCCCCGCGTCGGCTCCGAGCCTCTCTCGCGCGGTGCCGGGCGCCCGCCTCCCGCTGCTCGCCGAGCACCAGCGCTCGCCCGCCCCCGCGGCGGGGACCAACCCGCGCTCCCCGCGCTCCCCGCCCCCACTCCCAGCCGGCAGCCGGCCACSGCCGCTACACGGCCCCCAGGGGCCCCGCGCGCCCATTGCACAGCCTGGCAGACTGAGCGCCCGAGGTGTCCTGGTGCTCCCAGCGAGAGGCTGGAGAGCGCGACCCGCCTGCGCTCTACAGGGCGGGAGAGCCCCGAGGCCTCCCCGGCACACCCGCGGCTTTGTCCGCGGAGGAGACGCCGCGGAGCCTCAAGCCTGAAGTYCAGGGGCTCCGCGGATGCACTTCGAGGGCCTGTCAGTGCCTGTTTAGTCTTGCAATATGGAAAGCAAAATGTCATATATGCATTTTATCTTAGGAGAGTATTCGCGGCTTCTATATAGTCTCAGAAGCTTAAGTTCATTGTCTTTTAGAATGAAACCCCCAGGATCTTCCCCACACCAAGCTCCCAGGAAGGGCTGAGCGTCTGTCCTCACCAGCCATCTCATCTACTCCCTGGAGGGGTGCGGGAAAGGGGATGATGTTCTTATTCTGATCAGACTCCAGCTCGGTCCTTCCCAGTGTGGGGAGGGGCTGTAGGAAGGAGAGCAGTGACCTGGAGTAATCCCAGGGGGAAATCTGAAATAATTCTTAGAAGGAGGCCGCGGGAAAGAGTTTTGGGACAGTTTTTTTTTTTTTTCGTTAGAAAAGGACTTGGTAGGGCATAGGGGGTTATTTGGACTTCCAGCTGGGTGTTCTCCCAGGACCCTGCTGGGGACCCAGACTGTCCCTCTCCCAGGCGGCCACGGTGGGTTCATATTTGGCTATGGTTCCTGTACTGGCCCCTAGAGGCCAGAGCAGTAAGCCCCTACTGTGTATCCTCTGCCCAGGTGTTCTAGTAGTGGCAAGAGTCATGACGTCATGCCCATTTGCCCAACGGGGGACCAAAACTGAAAGGATCAAGGAGGTGTTTGGGTGGGTGATCCCAAGAGGATTTGGCATGAGGTGGGGGCAGCCAACTTCTCTTGCAGATGAAGGTCCATCGCACAGTGACACCCCAACCTCTGCTCCATCCCTCTCAAGACGTTGAGTCCCAGGGTCCCTTGGGCTCAGTTGYTCTGTAGGTGATGATTAGTATTTACTGAATGATGATAATGGCGGGCCTGCACAGTACTTGTAATAAAATGAACAGTTATCCTCTGAAATAAGGACAAATCATAATGACAAGTTTTTGAGTCCTCTCTGCCACTATCGCAGAATTCCAGAACCATAGAATTAGGAGGCACAACCTCCAATGAAGTCCTTATCCCCACCATAGTCTCTGTTAAGTGCTTGTCAGTTCTGTTCTTGTCTGACATCTGTATGGATGGGGGCCTTCTTGTCATTCCCTGGGGATCTGCTTCTAAGGTGGGTCAGCTCTGGTGGTAGGAAGGGTCTTGTGCTAAACTGAAACGTTCCCTATAACTGCTCCCCAGAGCCCCACAGATCTGCTCTGCGCATGTTAATTCTTCACGTACAAAGGCTTTGCCTAGTGTTTTTGTTTTTCCAACTGAACATCTGAAATTATTTCATAATTTCCCTAGCTGGTGCTCTCCGCTGTATTGCCCTGCTAGCCCAGCTCCTCTGCCACAATGACAATGACTCTGCCACAGTGAAGCAGCCCACAGTATATGGATTGCTAGGAGCAGTCTGTAGCTTGATCTGGGGTGGTGGTTACTATCAGGACTCAAAGAATAAATACCCTCCCCAATTTTGCATTTTTTTGGCATGCTAAGCAATTTAACCTAAAGAAAATTTAAAAACCTGAAAAGAAGGCTCAGAATCCATATCACTATAGTTGTGTGTGTGTGTGTGTGTGTGTGTGTGTGTGTGTGTGGATGTGTGTATGCTGGATATTGAACCCAGGGCCTCACATGTTAAGCATATGCTCCACCACGGAGCTATATCACCAGCTCCTCCTGCAACCTGTCTTGTTTCTCTTCCCTCCAGTGCACAGAGAGGGACTGTGGAATTCCCTTATCAGCATTAAGACCATACTGCAGAAGGGAACCCAGTTACTTTCTATCTTCACCCTGAACTCCTGTCATTTGGCTCAGAAAAGAAAACTGAGAAATGTAACATACCTGGATGGACTTTCATGACAAGCTAAGTCTGTTCTTTGGGTTCTTTCAGATTCCAAGAGAGTGTCTCCATTCATTCCCCTAAAAATCCTTTAAAAGTCCTCAGAATTCACCTACATTGCTTGTATTTCCCATTCATTCTAAGGGAAAAGGGGGTAAGTAAGTTCCTGAATAATATTAAGCATGTGGCATGCTATGGTTTCCCACTTATGCAGGTTAGTAAATTTGTACACTTTTTCTCCCATTTAAAAAAATTTTTAAAAACATTTTTTTGGTTGTCAATGGACTTTTATTTTATTTATTTATATGTGGTGCTGAGAATTGAACCCAGGGCCTCACACACGCTATCAAGCGCTCAGTCATTGAGCCGCAACCCCAGGCACCTTTTCTCCCATTAAATTTTTGTCAATTTATTCCCGCAAACTTCCAGGGGACAGAGGGAAGACTCTCTTCATCCCTACATTACCGAAGTGTCAATGTATGTGAAAATTCACTAGACTGCACACTTAAGATTTTTGCACTCAGTTGTTTGTAAGTTATGCTGCAATAAAATAGTAAGAAACAAAAATAACAAGCAAAAATGAAGTGAGGCACTCCACTGTGAATACAAGACTCAGTCCCTTTAGAGGCAAAAGACCTGTTTGGTGCTGGCACTGAAGGAGACCTTGGGTTGAGACAAGCAGGTAAGGAATCCATGTAGCAATGGGGTTCTGTATGAGGGATGGTTTGAGAGCCAGGAGAGGAAGTGTCTAATTCCACCTAGAAAGTTCCATGGAAGAGGTGACTTGGGACTTGGGTCAGGAAAGACTTTGCTTATTCACTCTCTTTCTTTATCTTTTCTTTATTCCAGTGTCACACAGTATTGACCTCCTGTTGATCAATTTAAACTCAGAAACCATGGAAGCAAAAAAACTGGATTTGGGGTCTGAGAACTGCAGTTCTAGAAAGCACAGAATCAGCTCTGAATGAGTGCTCCAAAGAAACTCAGATTAGCCAGGACTTTAAAAGGGAAGGAGAAACTGAGGACCAAGGTAATTCTACAAGGTACATGGAAAGAAAGGTGTTGACATAGCAATGCTTTCCTTTTAGACTGTACATCATTGGGCCATTCATGAGGGATTGCTGGGCTCTCTAGGTGTAAAGTTCATTTGTCATTTGTGAGGCCCGTTACAGCTGCAGCCTCCAATAAAAGGTGTTAATGGCTTCACAGCCTTGGCCCTGTTCAAAGGTTCTCATTCCTGTGTCATTTTCATGGCCAGTTTGAGAATGTCGTTTCCCAGGCAGCATCCTAATAACATGCATAGGCATGACCTCTAAGGCCTCTGGATTCCATTTTAAAATGTCCTTCAAAGGTCAGTTTTTATCCCAGTTTTCTTTTGGATTTYACATTCCTCTTGGAACCTTCCTCAAACAAATTCTATCTAAGCCCCATTTCCAACAAGGGCCTCATCTGCCTCTCTTTACCCCTACAAGGTCCTCACAGAGTCAGCTCTTATAATCCACTAATTGCTCCTTTTCCTCCCCACTGAAGCCATTTACACCTTGAGTTCTTGATGTGGGGTTGGTGTTTACCTAGGTCTTAACTCATAATGCCTCCCTGAGAGCAGGTCCTGGATAAGTAGCTGGTGACTGGATTATTTGCACAACACCTTTACAATGACTTTTAGTTTTACATTTATATAGTTTATCTCCCAATTAAAACAAGTTCCTCAAGGGCACTGGCTAATCTATTTTTCCCTTGTGTTATGTATTCAAATGTCACACACACACACACACACACACACACACACACACACACACACGGATTTAACCCAGGAACACTTAACCACCGAGCTCATCTCCAGCCCTTTTTATTTTTCATTTTGAGACAGAGTCTCACTAAGTTGCTGAGACTGGCTTTGAACTTGCAATCCTTCTGCTTTACTCTGGAGTCACTGTGATTATAGGTGTGTGCCACCATATACTGCTCAAATGTTTATTCTTGAGGCTGGAATAAAGCTCAGTGGTAAAGCCCTTGCCTGGCATGCCCATGACCCTAGATTCATCCAAAAAACCCCACTAACACCAAATCTCTTCTTGGTTGGGGCATTTTGTAGTCATTTTTTTTAAAAATGTACTGTTGATTATTTATTTAAAATTTTTCTTGTGTAATAAAGCCTATCTTTTACTTTTAAAGAGTCTATATCAAACTTTTTTTCTTTTTTGGTACTGGGGATTGAACCCAGGATCACTTTACCCCAGTCCTTTTCATTTTTCATTTTGAGATGGGGTCTCAATGAATTGCTTAGAGCCTCCTTAAGTTGCTGGGGCTGGCCTGGAACTTGCTATCCTCCTGCCTCAGCTCTGGGATTACAGACATATACCAATGTACCACCATGTCCAACAATGTAGTCATTCTTAAATTTGAAAGGCAAAATCTTGGTTTGGGGGCTGGGGATATAGCTCAGTGGTTGAGTGTTTGCCTAGCATGCTGTGTAGGCTCTGGGATCCCCCAACACCTGGAAAACAAATAAAACAAAAACCCTAGTTGATCCCTTAACTACCTTCTGATTTCCCTTCTTATAAATTGAAAGGGAATTGTCTCCATCTCTCAAAAACTCCAGAAAGTAATCTGAGACCCCGAAATGTGGAACAACTGAATCACCGGAAAGAGAGAGTCTGCAGAAGTGAAGATCTGTAGCTCATTGCTGTGAGGGCCAGCTCCCTCCGGAAGT